CTGGGCCAAGTAGCAGGCAGTCAGACCAGTTTTACACCCACAACGATTCGATTTAATGTGACACCTTGTGGGAAAAGCCATCTGCCTTCTTAAAAGTCAAGAAAATGGCGTGTTATAGTGTATAATCCAGCTAGCACCTCTCAGATTCTTTATTTATCCCAAGTGTCCTGCCTTAGAAGCAGCAAATAGCTTATTCTGCCAAGAGGTTTCTAACCCTATAATGCCAAATTTATCACAAAATATCACACATGGTTTCTGCATCATTCAATGGTAAAAACTTTGTTGTACACATTCAGATATACCTGATAACAGCCAGTAGAAGACTACACCAAAATATATCTTTGACTTATTGCACGCTAATTTGATCAAAATCATTTCAGTTTTTTTTTCTTCATATGTTATTGAGGGGCCAAAGAAAGACTTCAGACTAAAAAAAATCCAATATTCTTCCTATTTTTCTTGGATCAGGCTTTAAAGGGCTAAGAAGAAGAATGTGATAACTCTGGTTTATTCTGTTGGTGGGCACTGGACACATAGACAAAACTTGGGAAAACATACAATTTATTCATAAAACTATGCGTTTGTTTTGATTTTAAGCTTCGTAGATTTGATTCTGGTTTTAAAAATACACATGAGGACCTGTAAATAACACAGAAATCAAACCAGGAAACAATGAAGGTAAAGGAGGAAGATTTGGGTTAATTTTTTTATTTTTTTATTTATTTAATTTTTTTATTTATGTATATATCTATCCATGTCATATGAGGAATTGTATATATATATATATATATATATATATATATATGTATAGACATGTTATATATGTATATGCAATTGTTTTATTTATGGAGCCAGTAACAAAAATAATTTCCCTCTGGGATTATTAAAGTATTTCTGATTCTGATTCTGATCTGATTGTGAATGGATGTCATGACTGGAAAAACAGAAAAACTTAGTCCAGATCAACATCAGCATGTTTAAAGAAGTCTCATAAAGAAAAATAAGTGAGAAGTTGAGTTTTGAGTGACAAAACAGAGATGGAGAGGGCCCAAAAACACACAGAAATACTGGGAAATACTATCAATAGGCCTCAAGAATTCAAGATTGATGAGATGATGCGTGAAAAAGGAAGAATTTTTGGAAATATTTCTTCCATTTTGACTGAATAAAAGGCTGCTAAGTCCAAATGAGGGTTGAGTTTGGAGGCCTCAGACGCCCCCGTTTCCTGTTTTCCATCATTCTGATAACAAATCGCCGGCCATTGACTCGTTTCTTAAACAGCGTTGTCAGATAAAGTTTCAATAAGCTGCAGATTCCAGAGAGTAATGAGCTTTTTTTTCGGGCAAAGAGGCTCGATTATAAGCCGTCCCCTCCCACGTCCATTTTTTTTTTTTAAAGTGTGAAGCCAGAGGAGACGTGGAGTGGAATTCCAACCAGGACGATGAAAGAGAATCTAATGAATCAAAACCAATCCTATTAGTTCCGGCCCACATCTCCATGCCGTGGTCCTTTTTTTTGTTTTTTTTTGGCACTAAAATCCACGGCGAGATTTCACACGGATCTGAAACCACTCAACCTGCCGAGACTTTTTACCTCTAATTGACCGTACGAGGAGAGCAATCATTGCCATCCTCACCACCACTTTTTTTACCTATATATATATACATATAGTTTTTTATGTATATATCTAGCTATATTATATGATGAATTCTGTATATATATATGTATATATGTA